GTTATACACTCCTTTGAGCGCACAGTTAGCGAGTTAAGGCCTGTATTGTAGATCTGCTCTCCTTGAAAGAAATTGTACTTCTGAGCTGGAAGAGTTTGAGAAAAAGTGCTGATCGAGTAGATAGGAGAAAAGACACTGCATCCAATGTGTTCCTGATGTTGCTTTTTATACCCTGTATAGGGTATATTAAGTTTGTCACGATGTTTATAACACGCAAAAGTAAAAGTTAGAGACTCTACAAAGTATATGTATATATAAATGATCAGCGTCTGTCTGTCCGTCCATCTGTATATATACGAACTGAGATATTGATCTGAAATTTTGCACCCGTCCGTTTCTTACCAAAAAGCTGCTCATTTGTCGGAACGGCCGATATCAAACCACTATATATAGTATATAGCTGCCATACAAACGATCGGAATCAAGTGCTTATATGGAAAACTTTGCAGAATGAATGATCTACATATGAAGTTCGCCCAAGAAAGTGACAGTTCGTAAAATTTTTGCTATTGCAATCAAATAGTTTTCTGTCTCTCCATGTAGCGCTATGATATGGTACTGATATGTCTGGTAGTTTGATAATAAACCTCGAATGTATTATATAAGGTAGTATATATGGTGTTTAAATGATGTAAATGTGTAGTAACTTAACTTTGATCGCGATTTCTCGACAAATATTGTTACATTGTACAGTTTATAATTTTCAATCTCCCTACTACAAGCATGTTTTGTTCAACAAAGTCCACAAATAAATGTAAATCCACGTAAATGCATATACCATATATGTCTATATACTATATGGTATATGTAAATGCACGAACAAATTTTAAAGTTCTTCACAAAGTAGGTAAATTTCTCCTCTACTAATTGTTATTTGCTTAAAGCTGTCCGAGATTTCTGACAAACTTTTCGTCCTGCACATAATTCAAGGTTCCGTCATAAGTTTTCATAGTTTTTCCCCGTCTCATCATTATAGCGTTTTTTCCCCTCACTAAATGAAAGGAAATTAAAGTTGCGTGTTCATTGTCTATATTCCACGTGTTTATGCATGTATGTGTTTAGTTTTAAGTAGTAAGCCATATATATGTACATAAATATGTATATATGTATTTACAGAAATTGTACGTGGCGGCATAACGTTAACTATGTTTTACTCATAAAACTCGTAGGTAGTCTATAAAATTTTGCAAGGTATGAGCTGGAGTGAAGTTTAAGTGCGAGGGTGAGGAAGGGTTGAGAGTAAAGTTACCGTTAAATGTTTGTTATTATTATTTCATTAATCGTCGGCAAATATGTATTGTGGGCTGTATTCAAATATTATTGAGGTTAGGTATGTATATATGTATACATATCTGTATATGAGTACGTATTACTTGACCAAGGTGAAGTTTTAACAAACCTTTCGGAATATGTAAAAATTTCTTAGATTTTTATAGGTTATAAAAAATATGTATTTGCTTTAGATTTTTCGCATCGTAGTATGAATCAAGTTGATACTTGATTAAAATTAATAGTGATAAGTATTTCGAACATTTTAACAAACATTATTACACCCTGAATAGGCTCCCTCTGTCTGTCCATCTGTACAAGTATATACCGGTCAGTTTTTGCGATGTCGATCTAAAAATTTTCACACTTCCCTTTCGCCCCAAGAAGTTGCTTATTTGTCGAAATCACCAATTTGGGACTACTATATCATATAGCTGACAATAAACTGGCCGATCAAAATCAAGATAAAGTTCATTTTATACCCTTTTTTGCTATAAAAATAACCTGTGAAGTGTATTGGAGCTTAGGTGCAGCCAAAGTTAACGTTCTTTGTTGTATGCTAATAAAAAGTGGTATTACTAATGAAAATTTTGGTATCTGGTTTGGATTTGGTTGGAAGCATAAAAAAGATGAAATGAAGATGGGTTGAAACATACATTTCATTGGTGTTTATTGTGATTGTTTTCTTTATCGAAAGTTCTACTTTCGTGGTAACAAAACATGTTTTATATAATATATTATAACATTTCCCGGATTATATCTCCAGTATGCGACGTTAAATTAATATTTTTTTCACCAAGTCCTTGGTTGAAAATTGAACTGGAGCTTAGTAACAAGTGAGGATAAATTCTTATTATAACAAACTAAAACAAGCTTATATCGAAACAATTCATTAATTGCTTCAAAAACCCTCATACTAACTATAATTTATCCCATCTCAGCACACAGTGCACCATATAATTATAGGTTAGGTGGGCGTAAAATGTTTCGTTTAACTTATGTTCAGCATTTAGGCATTTGTCATGAACATTTTTATATGCATCAAATATTATAATTCGAAGGGTGGTGCCTCATGAGATTCCTTTGAGGGCATTACTTCAATATGCGTGCTACGGTAATAAGTTGTGCACACACGCTCATGCAGAAATCTATATGTGCAAGCGGCACGTGACGCCGACTCCCACACTAAAAGCACGAATTCTTCGTGTATGGTTGTGTGTGTGTGTGTGTGCTGTATGCACCTTTTATACGCTTGAATGCTTTCGATCAGGTGCTGTCCATTACCGAAACGCCATCGAACAAGTTCGATATGGTGTAATGCACATGCTTTTCCAAATATTCCAGCGGATATTGGCATTTTTTACTTTCGATTGAGTGCTGCATGGACTATATTTGTATTTGTATGTGGTTTCTAGTATTGCAGACCTTTCCGGTTAATTTAAATTTATGCATAATGCAAATGAACGGCAGTCACGAAAAGGGTGATAAATTTTCATAATCGATTATGTGTGCTTTCGATGGCTTGGATGACATGCAGTTTTAGCTGATATGTTAACTTGAAAGATTTAGTTATATGATAGTACATGTTCAAGCTTGCACTATTAAGAATTTATTTTATTCTCACTAGTAGCGTACATCTAATTTATATGTTAGTTAGTTTTACCGTTTGCTGATGTGTAATTGTTTTAGTATTTTTTAAAAGACTCCAGAGCAGTGATCTGTTTTGTATATAGAATATTGGGTTTTGATTTGGTAGATGACACTAACGAAAAAGTGACGCATTAAACGCCTGTAACAGGTGTAGAGGGCTTTCTCGCCTTCGCAAGGAAAATTACCTCGACAAAGCTCCTGGAGGCTATTTGTATTCAAGTGAAGTGATATGCAATACAGTCGGTTCAATGTTCTAGGCCATGAAAGCCAGGCTCAGCGTTACTGTGGGCATGGTATTATACTTGATTTTTTTTTACTGAACTCAGGTTTGATTGGGAATGCGATCAGGAGAAGGAGATGCATGCGAAATTTTTGATTTCTGTTCCAACCAGCACATCCATTAACCTTCTAGAGGATAGCCAAGCGGCAATTTGGGCAATTTGTAGTGCATACACTACGTCTCACTACGTTCGGTTATGTAAAGAGGCGATAAATAGAATTTCAACTCAGTAAAAATCATCTGAGTACTCAGTTATATAGGAATAGAAGGAGTCGAAAAGATAAAGAGTTAGCCCGCTCTGAAGGTGAAAGGGATGCAATACTCTTAAGCTTCGTGAGTCCATTCAGTTTCTTTCAGCGTTAGTTGAAGCAATAGACTCTAGAGGAACACCTTAGATCTTGGAACACTAGCAACTCAGGGCATACCGCAAAAGTACTTTGGGATAGCGTTAGTGGACAGACCAAAAAGCTTCTACTTTTAAGTAAAGAACTAAGTAACATTGTAGGAGTCATCACAAGGGCACCTACCTCTGAGATTTCACCTTCAGAAACTTATTAAAGTGGAGTCGATAGAATGCAAATGCGGGAGATGATGAAACGCTGGAACATTACCTTTGCGAAAAACCAGCCTTCGGCCAGTTGACACGGGATATCTTCCAACTTAAAAGACATTGGTCAGTATTTGTGGAAAAAAAGACATTTTGTGAAATTCACTGCGATTCTGTATAAAACTTAATTGGTTACCCCTTCGGAACAAAATGGGCCTAATGATGGCTTAAGAGCGACCGCTTGCGGTCTGGCGGTCCTGCGTATCCGTTTTCAACCAATCAACGATCCACAAGAATTACGAATAAGTCAAAGTAGATTTTCAGCAGTTTCGCGAATATTCTCATGATTCGCTACACATAGTACCCCAAGCTTTTCAAGTTATGACTATCCATGTAAATAAATCCTGAGAGAGGTTAATTCCTCTAGGCGTACTATATGATACTCCATAAGTGGTGGTTGTAAGAAGAGGGTTAAATTTTTGTACTTAAAAAGCTTAAAAATTCAGAGCTTGGTGGAGAAATAAATACAATATATACAAAAAAAAGGTGTAGTTTTGAATTGGAATTGGTCTATTGAAAGTCAGGGCCATTTTCTTCGTTTTCATCGAATATGAAGTATTGAGATCGAAATAGTCAATTACTAAGTGAAATTTTGGGCAAACCTACAAAAAATCGTCGCTCATCTTTTGTAAGCATGAGATTTTGCTCCCTGCGTTTTTATTCCCGAAACTCAAGGAACTAGCAATGTCTCCATCGAAGCAATTACAAAAAATTGGACCATCATGTTCGAGGTATCAAGTTACAAATTGTCCCAATTTGAAGACGATAATAAATATTATAAATTTTCGCAAAAAAAGTGAAATATGAGAATTTTATTACATATGCTTATGTATGCATTTATCAACCTACATACGCCAGGTATACCTACAGTTGAAAAACTTTTCTGCTTCAAAAATTCCTTAACCTTTTCGCTGTTTTCAAGTTAGACATACTTTTGTCTGGTAGTTGCAAAGTAAGTCTGTACATACTTTCGTTTTGTCTAATTACATCCGTTACATTTTTGTTTTCGAAATATTTCATCACTCACACTCTCTTAAATCTTTTGCTTACTTGAACGAATAGCTTGAAACAATGCATAGAATTATACAAAATGGCGCCACAATTCATCTAACGGCGACTACACGAGCCTTTGGTGTGTGTATTACATAAAAAGATTTATTTGCTGAATATTTATAAATGTAGAATTGTACTTACGATATCCATTGATATATTCCAGAAACCGTTAGTTCACCCTTATCCTCGAGGGCGTATTCAATGAGCTCCGTATACGTGAATGGTGGTTTCTTTGGCCTGGTTTTGTGTTGGCATATTGAAATAGCGCAGTGGGGGTGGGTTGGGGCGTTCCATTTAAGCGACGTTGGGAGTGGGAGTTGTTTAATACCACGTATCATTGTTGGTGGTTGAATTGTATGTGGTACAAAGAAGTTCGAGGAATAAAATGTGCGGGTACATGGAAAGGGTAAAATAGAAACATTATAGAGCATATGTATATGTATGTATGTATGTTCTATACATAAATTTGTTTTTATAACCGTAAATTGTTAAAAATATGCTTCTAAAAATAATATATGTAACATGTTTAATAAAGAAAATGTTTTGAATTGGTTATGGAAATATTAAACTGATAAAGACAATTTTTTTACGAAGCCAGATAACTCCTGTAAACTTTTTAACTGTTTATTTCTAGGCTTCCTGTGTGACTGAATGTTTGAGGTATTTAAGGTTAGATTTAGAAAGGCAGGAACAGTAAAAATAATTTTCCTTTTTCTGAAACCTGCCAAGACGTTGAACCTTACCAGATGGATGGTAGGTTAATGACTAGTTAAAATTATAGGTTATTTACTAGTTAGTATCTATTCAAAAAAAGTAAATCTTTTACATATTATATTATAAAGAAAGATCACATATTGATCTTAATTTGTAATTTTCATACTCTCTCTTTTTAGTTCGTTTAAAATACTATTACTCTATTAAATCCTTTCTGTAGGACAGACTGTAACGAGTCCCTTTTTTAGAAACAAGGTAAAAAAACGTTTAATTTGGATGGGTGTATTTCTTACAGCATTATAGGGTATAAAAAGATCTTTATCTAGATAATAACTATATGCTATGGTAGTCCGATCCAAGCAATTTGTTCGGAGATTGTAACGTTGCCTTCGACATATCTCTATGTCAAATTGACGTTATCTTGTCAAATAAAAAAAGTTTTCCACACAAGAACTGGATTTGGATCGGTCAGTTGGTATGGCAGCTATGTGCTATAGTGATCCGATAACGGCAATTTTGTAAATGTGCAGCTTATTGGGGAGTTAAGGACGTGTGATAAATTTTAGATCGATATCTCAAAAGTTGAGGGACGAGTTCGAGTATATATAGATGAACAGAGGGAGATGGATAAATCGGCTCAGATTGTCAAGTTGACCATTTATATGCAAAATATATACTTCAAAAGATCTCTGCCGTTTACTTCGGGGTGTTACAAACTTCGTGGCAAACTAAATATTCTCGGTTCAGGGTATAAACATATTCTTAAAAATTATGCTTTCACATAATAACTGTGTTTGTTTCATAGTTATGACGATATACACCATACAATCGAGGTTACTAAAATTTTCACTCGCCAATATTGCGCCAACTTACGTTCTCTGTGGCGAGTTCTCGACTATAACATTTTCCGCGATCATCATATCGTTGCCATCCACCTCGGCTGTGACTTCCATAACAAGCTCTTCGAATTTTTTACCCGCCTTCGTAGTGCCCTTTGGCGAACGCATGTAGTCGTTAACGTTTTGTTGAATACCTGAGTATGGAGTTGAGGATTGTGGAGAGCAGGAATTCGATTTGTGGGAAGATGTAGGCGAGCACGAATTCCGGTGATGTGAACCGCTATTTAAAGCATTCGTGTGCGAATTGTTATTGCTATTGCCACCCAAATCTGGCGAAAGGTGAGGAAATTCGTCGAATTTAAAATTTAATAACCAAGAGAGATTTCTGTCCTCAAAGTCAGCTTCTGTATCTGTTAGCGTTGTTGATTGTGCAAGAGTTGTTTGTTGATTCGGTTGCGTTTGTATAAGCTGACCACCTGTAGATAACGAACGGTATCTGCTAAGGCCCGTGTTTCCGTTTGGACTTGACACTTGCTTCTCAGGGACTAGAAACTGTGATGGATTGGGCACCTCCATTTGCTGTTGCTGTTGTAGTGGATGGGAATGCTCTTGATTTTGCTGTACAACGCTGAGTGTGCTCTCCTCGGCAGCCTTCAATGCGACCGTCGGATGCAGGTGTGCAATTTCGGTTTGCAAACCAGAATTATAACGGTGATCGAGTTCTAGCAAATCTGTGGCTTGCCAATTGCTACCATCATCATAGCTGGTATTCACGCAAACATTATTAGATGGTGTAACAAAGGTAGGCAATATTGAATCCGGACTGCCGTTGGTGGGTTGGTTCACCAAACTAGCGGTAACTGGCACAATCAAATTGGCATCGTAGGCGAAGAGATCGTTAATGAAAGAACTGCTGCCGGTTATCAGATTGAATGTAATATTGCTATTGTTGTTATTAGTATTATTATTGTTAATAATTTTATCATTATTATTGTTGTTGTTAATTGTAGTATTGTTGTTGTTTGTTGCACTGGTGCTGACACAAATTTCATTCTGTACATTTTCATCGGTTTGTATGGCATCTAAAAGCAACTGCGTCTCGTTGTGTGTGTGCTGATTGTAGATGTTGTAGTTGTTGGTGGCGTTGTTATTGTAACAGGCATTTGCATCGTTTATATCGCTGGCGGTTTCTTCTAGGTGACGCTTCTTCCAGGCCGGCGTTGTGCTCGGCATGGAGTTGTGATAGTCAGCAGTGTGGCATTCCGGGACACTGACGTTGGCGCTGCAGTCGCTTAAGTCACATTCGCTGTCAAATTTTCGTTTTAGAAAATTATATTCACAATGCGTCGGTGAGCTGCCGTCGAGGCAATTCGTGGACGCGGAATTTGCCGGCAACGAATTCGGCAAGTGACCACTAGGAGTTGCTGACATATTAACGATCATAACGCACCGAATTTGACACACACACGCACACCCCCTATTGAAGATTTGTAATTAATTTGTTTTTTTTTTTACATAATAATTTCAGAAGTTTAGTGTCAATTAGTTAAGACAGTGCAGTAGTTACTTTAATTTATTTTCCTTTGAACTTTGTTTTTTGTTTGTTTTTTTGAAAAAGTACGTACACATATTTTTAATTAATTAGAATAAATTTTTTAATAGTTTGTATGTTCATATTCACATTTTTAACTTCATCATTTAGTGTTTTTGTTTTGTCATTGAAATTTTTTAGAGTTTTCGACTTAACATTTTCATATTTGTTTGTATTTGATTTTTTGTTTAATTTAATTTTTTATACAACTTGTATTTATTTATGGTATTATGTATGGTTTATTACACTACTTATTATAGAGACCAATAGTTTTTTTTTAATAATTTTATTTGTGTCTCTACTCTTGAGTTGTTTTTAACCTTAAACTCGTTTTCAAATCAAAATATTATAATATAATATAAAATTTAAATAATCTAATATTTGCTAAATTTTGTTTCCAATTTCATATAACATAGAACTTTCCACTATAATTTGTTGTGTTTTAATTTTTGTTAAACTTTTTAAACTTATTATTTATTATTTTAAATAAAATTATTTACATTATTATTTATTATTTAATTTTGTTTAATAAAATTATTTACTAATTTTTTTTATTAATTTTTTTTACACTTAAACTGATTTAAAAATTGTTTGATATTATTTCATGTTTTTTTATATTTTATTTTGAACTTTCCACAATTTTTTTTGTCTTCTTATCTTTTATTAAATATTTTAATTTTATTAATTTTTATTAATTTTCTTAATTTTTTTTAAATTTTTTTGAAATTTTTTTAGCTTATACTAAAGGTCCGATTTTTTATATCCTCCATTTAGATGTACATTTCGATGCGCTAGTTCAACTCCGACTGAGCAATCTTTTGTCAGCTGTGCAATTTCGAATGCTCGACTCGCAAAGCCGGAAAGGAATCGCATTGCTCATTACCCTTGCGCAGTCATGCAAGTACAAATTGGCTGAGAAGACGACGGCAATTTTCCTGCTCACAATTTTCGCTTTTAGGCTCTTACTTTTCACCTACCATTGAAATATATGTATAATATATATACATATATATACATTTATGCATATATGTAACAGCCTATACACTTATGAAGGTGGTAGCACGAGTTGCACCGCATGCGTTCTGGTTGGCCGCTCTTTGGTCAGAATCAATTGTTGAGCAGCTATTCGAATATTAGAATATGAATACTACATATCGATATGCATACAAACATACTCACGTGTGGATATATATACATATGTATATGTATGTATATAATAGCTTGGTGTACTTGTCCTCCTGCCTAGAATTTTTCAGAGACAGGGTGTTAACCCGACCGCCTGTCAGCCAATTCACCTATTTTCACATTTTATTTTCATATGCATATATATAATACATCTAAAAGTATGCATATATATGAGTATGTTTGCACGTATGTAAATAAATGTGTATTTGACGGCGCTCAATGAAGCGTTTAATAGATGTGGAAAACGTTATTGCGCGTGTGCACCGGTTAGTGTGAAGGCGTTGAAAACTCGATGAGCAAAATATTGAGTGCGTCTCCTCAACATTCGCTCTAAAAAAAAAAACAAAAAACATTAAAGGGATGATGCACGAAGTGACCATAAGGTGCGCGCACATGACAGCGCCAAATGGTGAACAGGTGCCGCAGCAAAATGGGATTTGACCATAAATAATTGTAACCAACAGTGGCGGCTGGAATATATAATACTTGTATATATGCATATATATAAATATATAATATAATATATCATTAATTGCTAAAATGTTGCGATATGAAATAATCCTAATTTATAATAAAAATTTAATATTTAAATCGCATTAATGGGTAATTATTTAAAGTTTAGTCATTTGCTTTAAATATATAGTACTGTAATCGATCCTATAAGAGGGTTTAGATCGTTGAGCAAGAGTCCTCAAGGCATCATCACACTGTGTCATAAGTATATGTGTCGATTCAGATATCTTTCTAATCAATTCATGCGCATTATTATAACCCCGAAAATTTTCATTACCTAACTAATGATACACGTATTTTTGCATAATTTCTCAACGAATGTTTCCAAAGGTATGTTGACGAAGAACAATTCATTGACTTGTGTTTTGGGGTCATTAATTATCTACAAGAATACTTTAAATATTACAGAGATCACCAGAATAAAGGAAAATGACTTCCAACTCTAAATTTTATTTATAACCACTTTCGTTTTCAGTCTTAAACCTGTCGCTCCAAAATAACTGAGGATATTTATATATTATATTATATATTTCGATAAACCCATCTCCGGACATAAGAACCTAAATGAAAACTCATTTCTTACTGAAGTATTTTAGGGAAAATGAAAGGAACTAAGTTTAAGATCTACTTTTGGTATTAAAAATATATAGATAAATGGATGTCAGTTTTACTGATCACTTTTGTATTACTGTCAAGAAGTTTTAAAAATCTTATAAATGAGGGTAAAGTGCCACATATTTTAACTTGAAAAAGTACACACTACAACGTCTAGCGTAACTGAATATAATATATTCACCATAGATTTCTTCAGCAACCTTATTTGTCTTTATAATACTGAGAAGTAGTATAATGCAAAGCATTTTCATCATCTTTTATTAGACAATAATCGCACGTTTTGCACTAAGAGCTCCTCGGTAAGGGTTAACTTCATTCCATTGCTCAAATTGATTAAAACAGTCACTACGGCGGTGCAGTAAAAAACCAAAACCCATACACAATTTACGAGTCGCGAACTGGCTTGGAATAAATCCTTTTGTTTAGAAAAGTAAGCATTTTTGAGGAAAATTAAATTTTCGCCATTCTTAATAGAAATTTCAGCTTTATTCACTCTGAGTTTATATACAATTGACTAAAGGTTTGTGTTTCATATATCTTTATCTGTGGAACAAAGAAGCTTTTTTAATGTAGAAATAATAAATAAATGAATATTTTGCACAATTTAGACATTCAAGCGTATAAACATAAAAACGTCCCGAGAAATATTTCACACATTCTTATCGTTTCTTAATGATAATGTTTCTTAAGTATTATAAATATTGTTGTGCTTTAAACAAATGGAAGGGGAAGTACCTCTCTATAAACCCTTAATTCATTTTTGATTGTCGTTTAATTAACAATTGAACACGAATGCAAAAACGAAAAGCAGTTTCCAGCGGGATACCACATACTTAAGCGACTGCTTGAAAAAAAATTATTTATATCTCAATTATCTCAGTTTTTTTTTTTTTTTGGAACGTCATTACAGTGATGTCTTATCGAGACACCGAGATCTATATAATATTTGCACTGTTAATTTGCGTATATTTTTTCAGAAGAATTAGTAGAATTCTATGGATCACTCACACACCGGAACTGGTTTCGAAAAATGACGTTTCACAAAGAATTAAATTCCTGCCTTAAATATACATATGTATATATTTATACACTTCTGTAGTATTTAAAGAACTTTGCAAATTTCTCTCGTTCCGCGGAGAGCGCTGAGCAAGACTAGAAGCAATAATTGTCGCGTCAAAGTCGTGCATAAACAAGCTGATAATAAAACAGTGCCTCAAGTGACAGAAGCACGATCAGTTGTGCGGGAGACAGCTGAGCTATCGGAACGGTTAAAAGAAACGGCGACGTTTGGCAAAAGCTACGACTATACAAATAACTAACAAAGAAGTATTGAAATGAGAAATAGCGTGTTGCTTTTAGTATTTGGCTTGATATTTTGCATTAATCATGCTTTGGCGGGTAAAACCGAATGTCCGCATATTAAATTGAAACGTCAGTGGGGCGGTAAACCGGCTAAGTCGCTCACCTATCAAGTGCGTCCAATACGTTATGTTATCATTCATCATACCGTCTCCGATGAGTGTAGTGAGTTTTTGACATGTGCATCGATTTTGCAGAATACACAAACCTATCATATGAATGATTTGGATTACGATGACATCGGTTATAAGTGAGTGTTTGTTTAGTTTACTGATTATCCTTCTTTCTGTTGATACGCCCACAAATTTTGAGGCATTGCTTGTTATGATCCCAATAAAAAAAGAGGGGCGTAATTAATACAAAAACTAGAAAAACCGAACTTGGTGTTGATCGGTCAGTATGTGTCGCAGCTATGTGTTATAGTGGTCCGATTTAAAAGTGTTTTCTGAGATTGTACCGCTGCCTTGCAGAATAACCCAAGCCGAATTTCGTGAAGATATCTTGTCGAATAAAAAAGTCATACATACAATGAACAATTTGTTTGGAGATTGTACCGTTACTTTGGTGAATATCTATGTCAAACTTCGTGAAGATATCTTGTCAAAGAGAAAGGTTTTTTATACAAGAACTTAATTTCAATTGGATCCACTCAGCTCGTCACGCTCACCATTTCCTCGTATATATACAAACATATTATAAGTTCTGCGTCGTTTCGCAACCTTTCGGGTGTTACTGACTATGTGTCAAACTTAGTATAACAAGAACTCTTATCATTTAGATTAGCATGTGCCATTCTCCTAAATAAATATTATCGCTTGCAGCTTTCTCATCGGCAATGATGGTATTGTTTATGAAGGCACTGGTTGGGGCGTTCGGGGCGCACACACCTATGGCTATAATATGAATGGCACCGGTATTGCTTTCATAGGAAATTATGCAGGTAATATATGGTGATAATTCACTTTTAATTACATTTTACTGTACATTTATTTGATCATATGTCTACCTTCCCACAGAGAAACTCCCATCGCGCTCTGCCTTAACTGCGGCTAAAAGGCTTCTGGCTTGTGGTGTCAAGGATGGGGAATTGGATCGTAATTATATACTCTTAGCTGCTTCGCAAGTTTTGAGTACTCAGAGTCCCGGCTTGATTTTATACAATGAAATACAAGACTGGGATCACTGGTCCTTAGTTCCGTAATTATATTTTAAAACAAAATTCAAATATAAGTTAATATTTCAAAATATTGTAAATCGGCATATGTGGATATTAAAAAATAAAAAATGTTATAGTATATATAATCAAATTGGTCAATTTAAAATATAATAATCGAAATGTTTTTCAGTGTTAAAAATATAAAGTTTTTTTCGAAACTAATTTAATATATTTTTAATTAAAGTAATATTTAGTTTCAAATTGCATCCAAAAACCATTTTATATTTCCCTGAATCGTGACAATTCACTAAATTAATTAATTAAATTATTCTATATTTAATTATAAAAATTCATAAATCGTTTAATAATGAGATTAGGTAATTTTGGATTTAAGGAATAATAAGGATATTGTAAATTATAAAAATAAAATTGCGTAAATACTATCTGATCAAATTTGAACTGGACTGATAATAAAAACTTCATTTCCACGTATTTTAAAATAGGCTCCTGAACATGCCTTACAAGGATGCCAATGGTTATCCGATTTTTCATACACTTGTTGTAAGCCTCGGCCGGGGTGTTCCTCAGTGATTTCCGTGAATTTTGATATTTTCGGTTTCCCTGGGACAGTTTCGACGTTATACTCATAAACCCACCTCACGTCACCAGTAATGATATATTTTGTGAATGGCGAGTTCTCAGCTGCGTTGTTCAACATCTCTCTTGCGACCTCTATTAAGTGTCGTTTTGCAAAAGATTGAGGTTTTTCGTACAAATCTAGTATTGACACGCTTCATACCCAAAACATTTACCAAAATGTTTTGAGTCGATCCATAAGAGATGTTGAGATCCTCTGTCATCTCTGTGATGCCAACACAATGATTTTCAAGCTCTGTTTCTTTGACTATTTCGATGTTATCGTCATTAACAGAGGTGAATGGACTACTCGTATGCGACAAGTTTTCGATGACTTCGCGATCTTCAAAAATTTCTGTAACATTTTCATTGATTCCGTGGCAGTGATTTCATTTGAAACACTAAATTTCTATTTTATCGTTCAATTTTTTTGTGGTGAAAATCGCTAACTACACACACTAATTAGCAGATCAAACTTCACTTGAACATAAAAAAGGTTCTGCCAATCTAGGTCTAATATGGAGTCCGAGCAAATTTTATCAGATTGTATATATGTACATATGCATACATACAAGTACATACGAGTGTATACGGGGAATATCTTATGCTATGAATATAGGAATTTAATATTAATTTTGAATTTTATTACATATGTACAATATTATATTGGAAACTTATGATTTAAAATTATGTTACTTACCAAGAGATGTACATATGTATATGAACTTGCCATTTTGTTGTGTACATACATGCATACGTACACACATGCAAATAAACCGACTACCAAATAGGCAACCATTTTGTGGCAGCTACATACAACCAACGGCACGATTTTGACACAACTTACATTTGTTTAATTTCCTTGTGCATATAGCCATTTAGCTTTCACCCACGTATATTTCTTTGCACCTTATTCTGCGAGCTTTACTTCATTTTGTACATATTTAATTTTCGTTTTCACATTTTATTTAATATTTACCTTTCATATTACAATACATCAAACTCATCTTACCGGCACAGATTCAACTGAATTTTAATCTGCTGTTCATCTTATTCTCTCCTTTACTTACTCTCCACAGGCATACATAGAGGAAATTACAAATACATTTCCGTCTCCCACTCATTTTTTTCCGCAGTTATACGATTATTTGTGGCTAGAAAATGGAAGAGTTGCGCCATGTAACGTAATTGACAAGCATTAATTAGGATTACATCTAGAAACATTTCAAATTAAAAATAATAACATGTTTTAGGTAATACAACTTAAAAAAATTAGTAATCTTATTACACTTCTTTATTTTATAACAATATTTAGTCGTTTTAGTAAATATTGTACAATTTCGGTTTTGTTTTATTTTGTTCACCCATTGGTGCAATACGAATTAAAAGACGCGCGAATCATCCTGTACCGCATTGCATACGTCTCTCCTCGGCAGATGGTGCTTTGTTTATGTTTGAATTCAAAAGTTTGGAATGAAAATGTATAAGGAAACGGAAAAGTAAATGTAAAACGACAGACAGAGCGATTACAGTTAAATCTTAAATCGTGAATCGTGCTGATGCAATTGTGAGTGCAGTGCAGAAAATGTGTTGAACTAGTGAAATATAATTGAAAGTAATGAAATAAATGTGTAAATTAGTGGAAATAATATGTGAAATATATAAAAATGTGAGCATTGCAATATGTGCTTAAAGCCAATTGGCTGTTTGTGAAAAAAGAAGATGTGGCAGATGGCAAAAGTGAAATTTGTGCGGGTGCCTTACGGCTTCGTGCTTGTGCGTTTCTATCGCGAATTATATTATAATATTCCTTTGCATCAGTGTTTCGAAATTATTATACATACCATATCTTCCATAAAATGTCGCGTTAATTTAATAGTTTATAGATTTTACTAAATGCTTGGCAAATTATTTCATGGTTTATCTTGCAAACTCGAGTGCGGTTCGCGTCGTGTATGCAACTGTTCGTACGTGTAATATTTCGTTATGAGTACAATACAAATTGTAGCTGCAATTACATTCATATGCTTATATTTAAATATTTATATATATGTGTACGCGAGTAAATATGTGCAGGTGAGTGTTTTTATATGAAAATGCAGTTTTTATGCGAACATATCACTATAGAAAATGTACATATATATGTAGGTATGTACAGCGGCGAGTAATGATGTAGTAATGTGTACCAACACTAAATCATTTTCAATTGTTAACAATTTTTAATGGTTTTGGCTCTGTTTGCATTGCAAATGTAAAACTCCCTTTCCGTACTATTTTTATAAACAAAAAGAATTTAGTTCACACAGGTAGGATATACATTTTTATTTACATAGAAATTAAGTGGAGCAATAATAGAAAAAGTAATCTTAAATGATCGCTGAAAGATATTTTTGAAGTTTTGTCTATACCCATACTTTGTACTTGGTAGTATCACAACTATACAACGTCCCTTCATAGAGTCCACGGATGTTTCGATTTCTAATAAATTTTCGTTATTTCTCAATGCAATGTTTCGCGCGTGCCATTAAAAGATACAAACGCAATATTTTTTGGTTTTAAATAATTGGTATCAATTGGGATATTGATGGGACAGGTAGTTCGAAATAAACATAGTATATCAAAATTTATTTAACGAATGCTCGCAGCTGTATATATAACCAAAGTACACATCTATGATAAGAACAAACTATATGTATGTACTAAATACGAAATAATAAAACTATAAAGGCCTATTCACCTACAACTTTCCACGCCTTACGTGACAGTTCAAGTTTAGAAAAATTTAAGTTACATATGTACATACATACATATGTGATACAAAATTAAAAAAATGTTTGATTATTCGTGTGTTTATTTAGCTTAAAATATAGAAATTAAATATTTTCAATCATATTTTAATGTATATATAAATGATGAAGAGACGAGTTGAAATCCGGGTAACTATCTGTCCGTCCGCCTGTCCGTCTGTTCGTGCAAGCTTGAGTGATATCTTGATGAAGCTTAGAACACATATTCCTTGACAAGAAGTAAGGACGAGTTCGTAGATGTGAGTATTGGGACCACTGCCACGGTCACAAAACGCCATTAATCCAAACCGTATAAAGTGCTTTAACTAAGCCCTCAGTTAAGATACAGAACATGTGTGTTTTGAAAATCATTAAAAAGTGGGTGTGACCCGCCAGTTAATAAGTACAATGTATATATCTTCCAATCCAATAAAGCTATATTACCCAAATTTGTACAGGACACATTTTTCAACACTTTTTGCGACGGTGAAATCGGATGTTAACCCTGCTCACTTCCCATATAACGGTTTTGTTAAATCCTACTAAAGGGGTGATAAATCTATGACTAAATACGCCAGATATATAAAATATTATACCCGAATATCAAATGTTCGGTTACACGCTGACTTAGCTCTTCCTTACTTGTTTTTTTAGATATTGAATTTTGGGATAATAGGGTATTTCAATCTTTGGCAACAGAGATTTGTAATTTAGTGTCCATTTCCTCCTGTCTTTCATTTATTCTCCTTACTCATACACTCCCACCATTCATTCACCTTTTTACAAGGGAACTACATATACATTTCCGATTCTCACACACACTGTTCCGCAACTTCATGAATTATTTCTTCCGTTTCAAAAGATAAAAACTAATTGAGGAGCGCCATCTATCGCAATTGAATACTCATAATCGATGTTGCAAATGTAAATATATGTGATTTCACTGTAATTGTATATTGTATTACATATTATTTTCTATTGTAAAAATTTTTGTTAAATAGTAGTCATAAATAATGTATAACCAGGTATATTGTACTAACAACTTGATCGCTTTTGGATTTTATTTCATTTCATACATCTGTTCGTACCCTGTACCACAGAGTGCACTTTTCTCCTCGATAGATGGTGCTTCAAACATTATTTCTTATATTCAAATATATAGCTCGGCACGGAAAGAAAATGCATAAGGAAGCGGAAAAGTAATTAAAAATCTACAGTTGAGATTTGCTAGTATGTGTGAATGAGAGAGTGACTTCCGAATTTGATGGAGAGGTAAAAGATTACATGCGTGTGCCGTTCGTCTTCGTGTTTGTTTGTGCGTTTCTTTGTTTTTTATAGTTTGTATAATTTCATCAAATGTTTGGCACAATATTTAATGTTTCTTGTTAAAAATTCAGTATCTCGTGTGCGGTTTGCGTCGTGTAATATTTCGTTAGTGAAAATACAAGTGAATAAACATATATAGGAAATCGAAATTAAAAATGAAATTATTTTTTTAATTTGTAAGTTTTGAATAAAAAATTCGCAACCCTTTTGGGTTCCACAATTTTGTCAAAAATCAAAATTTTGATAAGTCCTTCGATCATTACCTGTGTTCTAACAATCCATACAAACACAATTTTTTTTTGGTGTTTAGATCTGAGATAATCTTGAGCATTTTTTTCAACACCAGACACCTGTTTTTGGAGGTCCTGGAAATCGGCTACGGGATCAAGAAAATCCAAAATTTTTCAAAGTAGTTTTTTTTCAAGTACTATAAATTCTGTAAATGCACTTTTATATTTATTAATTAAAAAAAATGCATCTTCAAACAAAATTCACAAGACACGCGTTTTTAGGAAAACAAAATTTTCATAAATTTTACAAACGAACAAAATACGAAAAAATGGTAAAATAAACTAAATGCCGCAATATTGGTATAAACTCAAAAACTCTAATTTACGGTTTTTATAGCAAGTAGCTATATTTAGAAGTACTCACAATAATTTAGTGCATATTTTGAATTCAGCCGATTCGATTGCAGTCATGACGCAAACCTTTCCAGTAGTGGTAGCTGACTTTACTACTTTCATAGTGGGAAGGAAATAAAAATAATGATATATGTATTCCCAAACTGTTCAGAGAAGGGATTATCAAAGGATAGTGAGAACAGCAGCTTCAAGCAAGCATCAAGCAAACATATAGTTAGATCGTTAATATTATTTCCAAACAAGATTTTAAGCCACTAAACATAAATAGTATATACGAATATATAAAATGTTCATACTTTTATTTTTTCAATCTATTAATAATGGTAAATGTTCTTTGAGTATTTGCCGCCTTATCGTAAATATTTTTTTAAGCATTTTCTATGCATGAAAACCAAATTAAATTATCCAACTTTATTCTGCCAACCTATCTAATCAGATCATGAAAACTGTATCAGTATCAGCAACAGTAGTTTATTGCCCAGATATTGCACAAGCTAGCTTGGTCATTCGTGTCTCCTGTGAAGTTGCTGATTGCATTGCAATATGTGGGCGAGAAAACTGGTATCATTGATGCTTAATATACATATATGCATATACATACACACATATGTATTAATCTATGTATGTAAAATTTTATGTTTTACTAAGTGCTGCTCTGTGTACTCAAAAGTGCAATGGCTTTGTTGCACAGCACAGCAGCACACGGTGAAAGGCACATTGCTTGCTGGCCACGAATGGCTTAGACCAGTAAACGGATTTTTGCAATAGCATGAAACCTGCCACCTGTTAAAATCAATTAACTGGAGCAATCTTACTGATTTTGTGGACTCTGCGGCAAATGTTTTATGTGTTTGTATATATGTACACTCGGCAATGGGCACTAAAGGTGACTTATGTATGTGTGACGTTGCTCAACTTTTGTAAAGAGTTGCAAATATTGTTTAGAAAATAATTAGCTTAAGACTGCAAATTCCGTTTTCATATCGGAATATTTGTACTATCGATGTGTAGATATGTATCGATTATAGCATATTGTACTAAAATGTGAAAAAACTGCCAGTTTGTGGCGAAAAATTATAAATAAAAGTATACAGTTACTGTTATTATGTTGCCTGTGGCTGTATATTTTATTTTGTGTGGTTTGATATGTGTCTAACTGTTTGTGGGTTTGAGTTGTTGGCTTTGATTTGTCTCGTGCCGTTGACAGTTCCAGTTTAGATATTTAACTATAAAATATATCTGTATATATGTAAGTACTTAGAATGTAAGTAAGGCGTACACATTGCGGTTTTACAGATCGTCACTGTACATATGCTATTTCTTAAATAGCAGACAAGTTATCCTATATTATCTATTCTCTTATATACTATTTGGAAAGCAATATGAACTTTGAGAAATATCAGCGAATGTGATGTGTGAGAGTGTACACCTTTAATAATCCTTAAAATTATGAGAGCGGGATATGTTTTTCGTTTCCTGATGTACCGCAATATAACATGTTTCGATGTTTTCGTCATTATCAAGGTGGATGAACGAGGCAAATTTTCGATGACTTTTCAACCTTCACTGAGTGCTTTATGTTACTCAAATACTCGTGTCCATAATGAAGTAGACAAAAGACCTAAAACACTTCTGTAATATTTTCAACTATTCTGTAGCTGTAACTCCTTTGGAAACACAAGTCTTAAAGCAAACTCGTTGTTCAATTTATTTTTTCCATAGTAAAAATCGCCAGACAAACTTTTCGAAAAATTGACGTATGTATGGAGATCACACTTCACACCAACCTAAAACTGGTTGTAACAATCTAAGGAAGAATTTTATCGATTCGGTTTGTGCGCGCAGTTTCAATGGATCAGTTAGGGTCAAATGCTTAGCTGGTAAATATTTTTCATGATCTGAGTTTGGTGTTTTCGTACACTTTTCTACACATACGTATATGGTACTAGGGGTCTTAATATGGGTATTAATCTATATATACATACATATTACGTGAGTTGCTAACTTTCTTCCTTATATATGTACATATGTATGTATATAAATATATATCTATGTAACTACATATGCATACACATTTTTCCATATCTCTTTACAAGCGGGTTTATTCAGCTTTGCTTTGAGCTTGTAATTCGATCTATTAGCTGTGGATGCCACAACTGACTAATCTTGTGGAATTCTCAATATAGTAGTACTAACGATGCGAATATAAGATGTGAAGCACTCCCGCGATTTTTTAATGTGTTTTACATTCGCTTCACATCTTTTTGCTGCGGATAATAATTCTACTGATTCGATTAAATAATTACCAACGGCGTCATCGAACTACCACAGCATGAAGCTAAGCTACGAGTAAATTCATATTTATGTAACTACGCATTAGGTGCTTGTATATGTAATCAATTATAAATATGTATGTATGTGAAGCATCCTCTCGATAATTTTTTACGCATTTTCTTTGTGCGTGTAATTTTTTTTTTTACCTTTCTTGAATTCAGTGGGTACTGAAAGAGTGTTAACCATGACAGTGATTTTCAATAAGTTTTTTCTTGTTATTATTTTACGTGTATTTCAGTTGTGCCGCATATATTGAATTACACAAGTGACTTTTAAGTTGTATTATATTATATATGAACATATATAGTTTTGAAACCTTTTGTCATACAGTTTGCTTAGCTCACGACTCTTTCTTATGCTATATTCGCCGTTACCTCTGCGTAAAACTTTTTAAATATATCGCAGAATCTTTCTTTTGACAATTGCAATAATCAGATGTATCGTTGACCACGCTTCTACATCATATAATATATTTCACGGGAATGATAAGGGGCTTATAAAATGTTATTTCTTTCATTCAAAAATGATTTGGCAAACTTTAGTCTTGTCGCCTTTGTCTACTATCTTTTGGTAGCTGTTCAAAGATAAGGGAGATTGTTAACGATTTCGAAGGTCGAAGGAAGGTTACAGTCAATACGGCGAAGAGAGGTAAAAAACGATTTTACTCCAGACCCACTAATCTTGCTAGCGTATGTTTTTATCAAACGTTTTAATAGTTGTACGCTCAAAAAATTAGCAAATATAGTTAGGTAAATAGAAAAATAATCAATTTTTTTTAGCTTAATCTCTTTCAAAACTATCTGAAAACATACATATGGATGTGTATGCTAAATATTAGGTTTGATTTCGAAGATATTGCAGGTAATAGACAAGCGTCTCGACCATGTGTCAGTCGCTTAACAAAACTTTGAGACGCGTTTCTTACTTACTAAATTACTTAGTATTCTCTAACAAAACCTCATAATTCGGTGTGGATACCAAAACAGACAGCCTAAAAAATACGATTTTTGGAAATTACAAAAAAAAAAAACTACTCTATCAATTGTTTTTAAAGTTAAATGATAATTTATATATATTTTAAGAATATAAAGTAAAATTTTTGAAAAAAATTAAAAATTTTTGTGAAATTATACACGTTCTCCGACTGCGCTAAAAGAAGATCCACCACTGCAGGCTTTCCCCATGGATGATATCTAAGAAATTTTTCCTACATTGTTTTAAAATAATTTAAGTAAAAAAAAATTTTGCTATTTTTTGGCTTGAAAAAACCCGATTTTTTATCGGATCAAAAAATATTATATGCAATATTGTGAAAAACTATATACAGAACATACAGAAAAAATTTGATAGTGATTGGCTCTAAGTAATCCCTGCGGAAAATTACAAAAATGCTTTTTCGAGAAAATTTTTAAAATAGATTTATCCAAGATTGATCAATAATAAATGTAATTAAGAAGAAAATTTGTTATAATGAACTTGTTTGTTCCCTGAGCATTTTCCAAAATTACTTTAAAAAATTGTTTCGAATAAATATTTAAAATAACTCGTAGTGATGGGCTTTAGACGGTAAAAATATCGTAAGCAAATATATTATATAATAATAAAAATAAGACCTGCTCTTAAACAAAAATTCATATTAAGTTTAATTTCATAATGTATGTTATTTTGTATTTTATTGTGGGTTTTTTCGGGAAAGTGAAAAGTAAGTGCATGTGTAATATTCAAATACATATGCGGAGAAATGAAGTTTGTTTACCTAAATATGCATATATTTCATCTTTTATTTTCTTTACGGATTTTCTATTCAAAATCAAAACAATATTGCTTTTTCGGCACTTACTTTCGTTCTTAAGGTCACAGGTACTCAATTTTTAATGAAATTTTCTATACATAATTATATTGATGCGTGCATAAAAGCATAGTGATCCTACTGATAATATATAGTGTACTCTCTCAGTCACATGGGCTTAGACGAGAAAGTCCTTGTAATTATTGCACCCTTTTCAAATCTATGAGAACTCAAAGGTAAATACTTCTAATTTCGAAAAATTTCTACCTGTCCTCAATACATGTTATAAAAGCCATGCAACAGGCACCGGCAATCTTAAACGTATTTCAACATTTGACCCGCGTAGTAGTACACATCTCGTTACTCTTTTACAATTTAATAACACAATGCGTTTGGTAAGATTTATTTTTCAATATATTCAATAAACTTTTACTCACATTAAAAATTTTTACTTACAGCTAATAATATTTCACTGCATACTAGTGTTGACATGGGCCAATCCTTTGCTGAAGAGCCAAGTGTTGTATAATAAAATCAAAGAACGTATGTTCGGCGTCAACACGGATTGTGGAACCTGTGGCGGCATACATACCGTGCAGCCGATGGGTATGTTACCAATGCCTAATGTCTACACTGGGGCATATAAGCCGTCGCTACAATTACATGGCGAGTCAGCGGCTGTGTCAAGCACTGGCAATGTCTACAATTCTCAAGAATATTCTTCTGGCCGCATGAATCATTTCATGAATGCTAACGGTGTAAAAACGCATAATTTTAGAAGTGATAAACGTCCAGCTCCAGTTTTGAATTACGCCAATAACCATTATGCACAAGTTGAGAAAGCCGCTGCAGCCTCTACGGCCGAGAGTCATAGCTCAACTACATTATGGAAGCATGAAGAGAACGCGCAAGCTGCAAGTAGAGCACAACAATTGACAATGGCTCATGGTGGTGGAGCTGTACCACCAGTACCTGCTGGCCCTGTTTGGATTGAAGGCGATCAGTACGATGCATATCCACCTTTGGGTTACACTGGTGAGGTTGTTGACAATTCTGCTGCAGCCCAATCTTCTTCCTCCGCTTGGAGTCAGCAAAATGGTAACTATGGTCAAAATAATGGACGTGGTGTGGCCTTTGCTCATGCCAGTTCTACTTCGTGGAGCTCAAATAATTCCGGCTGAGAGAATTTTAAGTTAAGTTTAGTGTGAAAACAGAAAGTTTGTAGAAATATTGGTGGAAAAATAATAATACAAAAACAGTAGAAAATAATCAAATAATTGTGTATTTAATTATCGAAAATTTATGTATCTATTAAGTCAACGCAAATTCAAGTTTTTGGTGAAGTAAATGACAGTGGTTAACCCCATATTTAGCATAAGACAAGTTCTATCATGTTCAATTAAATATAAACGCTTTTGGAGTTTTTATATTTTTTTTTACCAATGCATACTTGTTCTAGGGGCTTGCCGATTGTTATAGTAAACAGCATAAGTACTTTTATATATTATATAATTGATAGCTTAATGCGTTTTTCTTTTTATTTTCGTTACTAAATCCTTCTAGTTGACCGAAGGTGCAGTTTATGTGTGAGTTTCAAATAAATATTAAACGATTAGTTCTTCGTATACATTTACACCACGCCTAACAATAACAAGCCTGTGGGTTTCGTAGCAATTTCAGTGCAACAGATTTGATTAACATAAATTTATAATAATGTTGCAATGAAAACCAAAATATAGGAAATATAAACTAGAGTTATAAATGATTTTAGAGGGTCTATCGATGCAGAAATATAATTTTTCTCTTCACTTTTTAGTGTCTACATATATATTTATTAATTAATACACTCACTATAACAAATCTTTTTGATATAAATTGATAAAAAATGGGCCTTCAATTTTTGGCACTGCCTTAAGCGGTCGTGGTCGTAATAATCATATATTCGACACAAAATCTGCTAGAATAACGAAAATTATTATACCCAGGAATATGTTATTTTGTTGATCGATTTCACTCATTTTTGGCATTAAACTGTAGTATGTACACATATTGTAAAGTGATATGCGCTCACTAAATTTATATAAGATAGCTCACATACGGACTGACATATGCAATATATAGTCAACCGTAAGTTGGAAAGTCTTTGTATTAGTTATATGAGGGTCAATACTTCCCATCCGATTTTACCAATTTTTTACACAAGGACATTCTGTTATCATAAATATATTATATCTGAATTTCAATAATATATCTCACGCATTGACCGATATTTTCGGTAAAAACTCAGCCATAGTCGTTGGGCTCAATATATTCTGTATTGTGGTTCAATTTCGACCATTTTTGGACTAAACATAGATGGAAATCCTTTAAGCCACTATTTGTACAAAGTTTTATTTCGATAACGTCATTGAGTATCGATTTATATGCCGTACATTTAAAGATTGGATTGGATTTAAAATTCTTATATATAATTGTCTTCCGATTTCGCCAATTTTCACACGGTAGCATAGAAACGAGAAAGTAATGTAATGAACCAAATTTCGTTTATATTGGTCGGGTACACCTAAAGGTTGGGCAGTGCCATTTTTATTGTCTAATTTTGCCACTGCCTCTGATGAGGTCTCGTCATGTATCATATAGGATGTGAAATTTATTGCTTCTGACTAATTTTTTGATCTAGTTATCGCACTTTTAGTAGTTTTCAATATAACCATTGTATGAGGCATGGGCGGAGTTATCATCCGATTTCTCCCTTATTCTCAACAAATTTGGTCTACCATATATACTTGTAGCTTAAGTGGCTTGTGAGATATAAACATAAAATATGATAGGGAGTGGGGCTACACCCACTTTTTAAAAATGTGCAGCCCACAGGTGCTCTCCCTGCTACGAATCCCTGTACTGAACAAAGGGAATATTTTAATTAAAAAATTTAAAAAAATTACATTTTCATTTTTTAATCTCGATGTTGGGATTAAAAATTGAAGATATTACTTTTTGATTTGAATGGACACTAAAAAATGTTAATTTTAAAGCAAATTCCTCTTTTTAATTCTTAATTATGTGCTTGTGATTAGAATGTTTTTTTTTTTTTCCAATCCGGTAGTTGGGGTTAAAAATTAAAATTGGTATTAAAAATTAAAAATGAATTTGCAATCCGATTTTTAAGATTAAATTTTATTTAATTTTTTTTTTTTAATCAGGTATGCGGGATTAAACTTTTTATTTTTAATTTTTTATAATAATATGAGTTTGTGAGCGTGGTAATGGTCCTATTTCGCCCATCTGTTTAATTGCAATTCTGTCAAATCAATTAATAAACTTTATAGATAAATTAAAATCTACAGATCCTAAATCGCCCTGAGAGCGATTGGCATTTAACATAGAAGAAGTCGATTTGAGTTTTATTTTACAGTATAATCTTTCTAATGCTGACTGTATTATAAATAAGATACTTCCAGTTTTCTTATTGAGTCCCCTTGTACATAGTAGATTTGCTTTTGCAATAACGTCTAAGAAACTAATCACAATATTGTCTAACTTTATTTTCGTAACTGACTACAACAGCATGCATACACATACAAGATACCATACATAGTATATACATACCATATATCACATGCATTTTTTGCTCAACAGCCGAAGGTGTGACAATTTATTCGCTTCGCCTTCGCCTGCCACACTTTTGAGTTTTGAGTGTTGCCTCTAAGTCTAGGCCAATTCGCCTGTCAACTGCATTTGTTGCGCTTGGTTGGGTGAAGTTAAATTTTGGACTTATTTATTTTGCTCGTAGCAGGCGTCGCCTTTATGCTCTTACCTTAACGTAATAATTGTTTTTCTCCGCTTATTTGTTATTTTTGTATTAGAAGAAAATTTGCATTTTAATTTTAGCCCAGGTAAACGTGTGCCAATTTGAATTAAATTTGTTGTTTACGCCTTTGCACTGTTGTTGCAAATAGATGTAATGACGGTGATTTGAATTGTTGATATGCGCAAGCGTGTATAATTTTATGAGCTGAGGCGAATAATTCCTTTTGAATATGTTGAAAGTTACGAGAAGAGTTAGTGTGATTGTTTAGAATGAAATTTGAAAAAAAAGCTGAAAACAGTAAGAGATTTTCTGTGTTTGGAAATCAAGGGCATTGCCGTTGATTTCTTATACCCTGAACAGGGTATATTAAGTTTGCCGCGAGGAGCTGCTATACAAACTGAACGATCGAAATCAAATGCTTGTATGGAAAACTCTTTGATTTGACCAGGTATCTTTACGAAATTAGATCGGAATCAAGTTATTGTAAGGAACCTTTGTATCTGTGAAGGGTATTATAGCTTCTTAATGAACTGCCCTATAAATCCAACAAAGCCTTATCGAAATCGAAAATTTTTGTTTAAATGATTTGAAATTTTAGATTAAAAAAAGTATTAGAAACATATCCTTAGGCATAGTCGCAAGATTTCCATATTAAATTTCTATCATATATTAACAAAGAATGAATTTACAAATTATAATTTATGACTCAGAATATTTAAAATTATTTTAATCTGATGCGAACAAAATCTAGTCTTATTGTTAAGCCCCTTAGCAAGCACAAATTCTTGATCCTCATACTTTCTTTCCTCTTCATCTCGTAAAATTCAAAAGAATGTGGTGTTGTCAAAACCCGATATGAATATGTGAAGCGGGATACTATAATACTAGAATTAAGAGCTTGCGAAAGTATGCTCTTACTTAGTAGAATCCAGTTAGGGATTCTATCTCCTTCTATAACAAAGTTCAGACAGCTTTTGCTAGCAGATTAGTACAGCTAAGAGATAGTAAATACTATGTTATTTTCCTTTAAATGCAGATCCTTTTGAAAGGAATACACCACGACACATATACGTCACACAGTTTTGGCTAGTCAAATAATAAATGACAGTCTAAAGTAGACTAAGAAAACCGAGATATAGGAAGAAGTTTATGATGGAGAAGAAAATACGTGTGCAGACTTATGAATCAGGCAATATAACTTGGAAGTTGATCTAAAGGTCTTTTATAATGAAATTCTTGTCATATTGACATGCGTCAAAGTTATTATCTTTAAGGGAATTGTGGGTAATAATTTTCTCGATTTCTAAATACAATTCTGGTGTTCATCTTTGTAAGATTTGGCTAAACATAAATATGAAACGCATGTGACTTTTTGGTAGTATCTTTCTAGCATAGATAGAATACTTTTCTAAAAACTATAATAAATGTTGTTCTGTGCATGAAATCAAAGGCATCTTGAAAAACATTAGTAGATTTAGCACTGCTTCTCGAATACCGATTGTTGGTGAACTTGGATTGAATCTCTAATCTACTGAACAAATGGTAATCCAAATTTATAAATAACTGAACAATTTATATTACGTTATTATGCCATTACGTTATGTTAACTAACATATGCCGCTTATGTTAACAGTAGAGATACTACATATGTTTATATGTGTCATTTGTTTGTTGTTTCTCTCGATCGCCAGTGTTCTTTCCGTTTGCTTTTGCCGGCATTTTTTTTACCAACACATGCGCACATTTATGCTGTTGTTGCTTTATGCTCATAACAACCGATCTCAACGGCAACGGCGGCATACGAGGCTTGCTCAGCTGTCAAGTGTTGTTTTTACTACTCATACACACGCATCCATGCATATACAAGTATGTATGCACACTTATACTTGTATGAAAACAAGTCGTCGCGTCGGTGTTTTTGCGCCGTCACTTGTGGCAATTGTTTATATTTTCCAATTCCCAACTGACAGTACGATTGCCACTGCCGAAGTAAACGAAAGCAAGCACAGAGAGTGCCGGTGAGCGATTTTAGCGCTATAGTGTTTTGATGATCGTCGTTGTACGACCAAACAATTCTATACAAAATACACAGACACATACATACCAATTTATTAACTGGCAATCGCGGATATGTTGCCACCGGTTTTTTGTTACATTTTAGCCACAAAGCCGTGAATACAACGCGTTCGATTTGATTGATCGCATTTGTGAGCGTTAGTGTGTGTGTGTGCGAACGTTTGTACTTTTGCGCATTAATTGTTATTTGGGCGCGTAAAGCGTTGGGTGTGCGTGCTTGTTGGTGTAAACTACTAAATAGGCAAACTATGCAACTTTCTATGAATCGTGCTTGGCGATCGGTGCATGCGAATTGCAAAATAATTTGAAGAAATAATGAAAAACAGGTGTAAAATGAAAATATTATATATAATAAAATAAAGAATTGTTTACAATTAATCAAGTGATCGTACTAAGGCGGAAAATTATTTTTGGTGTATCAAAAAATTACTATTTTTGTGGTGGATATTAGTTTCAAATCAGCTACAATTAACATATTTAAAGCTTGAAGTAAATGATTTTTTAGAAACAAAACGATTGTTTATATATACATACATACATACAAACATATGTTTATACTTATGCTGGTGAAAAGTGCATATTTCAGTTGTAGTACATACATACATACTGCACAGCTATTCACATGTTGCCGCGGAGGTGAAAGTGTGCGAATAAACGTAAAATTTGTTGAAAAGAATTTCTTAAGGGAAAATATGCAAAAATTATTGTAGTGTAAATATAGTAAAATAAAAACAGTAAATCAAAAATGAATATACTTACTATAAAGCGGTGAATTTGAATTTGATTATTATAATAAAAACAAAAATTATAAAAAACTAGAAAATATATCAAAAACTACAAACCTAAAAATAAATTTAACAATTGAAAAAAAAACACAAAAAAAAAAAAAAAATACCTACATAGCTACATACATACATATATTCATACTCAAAGCCCAAGTTTAATTTTGCTGTGTCAAAAAATGAAAATAAAAAATAAGTGAAAAATAAAATAACAAAGTGAAATATATAGTTATATACAGAGATTTAATTAAAGTGACTTAAATAAAAAAGTGTTGTTTATCTTTATGCAGCATTTGCAGCAAAAGTAAAAAAAAATAATATTTAAAAAAATATAATTTATAAATAGTATATTTTTTGTAATAAAAATTATAATTTTTTATTATAACATCCAAAAAAATTTAAAATATACATACACATTTGAAGTAAAAATATTGAGTTAAATACAAGCGCTGTATTTTAATCAAATTTGTAACGGTAAAAGTAAAAACCATTAAACCGACAAAAAATAATTTAACCAGTGAGTGAGCGTCAACAGGCAATAAAATTAAGAAGAAACATCCTGTTTGCAGGCGATAATGAGACAAGTTATTTGTTGTGGTCAAATTTATTAAATTTTCACAAAAACAAAAAAAAAAAAAAACAAAAACCATATATATGTACAAGAACAAAAAAGATCCACATTCACAGCAGTCTGCGGTTTAGAACGGATTTATCAGTCAGTTTGTGGTATTATTGTACTACACGAAAAAAGGCAAGTAAATTGGAATTACTTTGTTGCAATCGTTCAAATAAAGCGGCTGCTTTGATGGCGACTGTGAGGTTAGGTTGAGCATGGTTAAGTTGAATGGTGAATACTTACAAGCAAATGCAGATATTAGTGGGAAGCCAGTATTGAAAGTATTATTATGTCTGAATGACTACTGTGAGTAAAAAAAATTATAGAAAGATTTATACTAAAACAACTTTCCATACAAGAACTTGGTTTTTTATCGCCCAGTTTGTATAGCAGCTGTATGCTATAGTGGTCCCATCTAAACAATTTATTCGGAGATTGTCGTGTTTCTGCGGCAAGATTATTTGATTTTCGGAAAGATATTTTTACCATACATGAACTTTATTTTGATCGTTCTGTTTGTATGACAGCTATATACTATAGTAGTCCGATATCGACGGTACCGACAAATGAGCAGCTTCTTGGCGCGAAACGTGTGCAAAATTAGACGGACATGGCTTAACTTAGCTCGACACGCTCATCTTTCACATATACTTTTTATAGGGTCTCCGACGTTTTTATCTGGGTGTTACAACCTTCGTGGCAAATTTAATATACCTACTTCAAGATATAAATATATAATATTAAAAATTTATAAATAAAAGTACACGCAATATTTCTAAATAAACTACTTTATTGCCGTAATACAATTCTTTCCATATAAAAATTACGAAAACGTTTTTCTCAATAGCTCCAAAATTTAATTTATTTCGAATTGGCCACTTATTCTCCGCCGCAAAGAGCTTTATTTGGTTGTTTGGATCAATAAGCAGCGCGAGCAATTGTTGGCAAAGAGCACGCACAAGGTGGAAGTAAGAAGTTACAAATACCCAAGCAATATTGCAAATATATATGGAAAAAAGAAGATAAACGAACTGACAAAAAAAAAAAAACAATAAAACCAAACAACAAAATAAAAATTCGAATACGATAACAAAAAAGCTAAAAAAAGAGTTTTAAAACTGAGGGTTTTTCCTGTGTGTCTGTAGTTCGGAAATACTACTTACCAGATGTATGCTTATCATATGTACATATGTGTGTATGTACTCTTGCCTCATTACGGCCACTTTCCTGTCTAAAGCAACAAGTTTTCCATAACAAGAAAGCCTTACCACGGCGGTTGTTGTGGTTAATTCAATTTGTTGCAGTCGAAAATTAATGTGGCAGAATAATATATTCATATATAAATGCTGCCGGAAAGGAAAAAGTGTTGGTTCGGTGGTTGTACCCTTACATACTGCTATAACTATGTGTTTGAGAATACTATGTCATCAAATTATGGATTAAATTAAATTTTCTTTATGTCATTATATCTTTAAAGATATTTCATGGCAATCACTACATTTTTCTATATTAAAGTGACAGATGCAAGTATCTTCTTTCATTGTCAATTGTTTTACTTAACTCAAACGTACTTTGTTTATACTTGTAAATGGCGATAAAGTCGAATAATATTCCAACTTTCTTTGTTCAGCATAAAAATATGTACATGTATGTATGTGTGGTATATATATTCGATTTGGAAAATCATTACGAGCGTAAATAATTAGGAGTCAGTCATTGGTATTTATTACTGCTATTTTATGCGTTTCGGCATTTCTTTTGCCGTATATATTATTTCTTTATAGCACTGTATTGAATCAAAATTCATATTGTTTGAATTTCCAGATTATTCCTATGACATAATCAATACTTACTTAGAACCACCCGTTTTGAACTCTCTGCAACTGGAATCGAGCGTTTTACAGAAGCTGTAATAATTAAACTCAAATCAACAGCCCGGACATCAACTATATTTCCTGATGACTCATATAGGTATTGAAAGAGCCCATGAAGTACTATTGATCATTAACTAAAAATAGAAAGAAATTCACGGTAGAAAATTGAAATTATGCTACATACATCGTTATTTCAGTTGAGACGTGATACATATAGATGCATATAATAATCAGGATGATATCCACTGCTTTTCCAGAAATAGGCAACTATGCATAATTGTAATTGTTGATTTGGAAGCCTTAGGATGTGCCAGAGCTTCCTTGGTATTCGGAAATGAGCATTTCCTGTATTTTTTTTGGCTGTTACTGAAAATAAAAAACAACAATTTCAGGTATTTTAATACAAATCTTCTAGAAAAACTTTATCTCACACAAATTGACGAATTTAAGAAATTTTTTTTTTATCGATTCAGCTTGCGCGTAGAGTAAATGGACTAGTCCGGGTAATAATAGAACGGTTAGCATATGTATTAAGGAAATGCTGGTCTAAATAGCTCGAAGAATTGTGGTATATTTACTTTATTTCAATATGACAAAACATCAGCACTCTTTGTTAATTTTGATACATGTATGAATACTCGTACTTCACAGATTGTCTCGCCTCTAGGTATCACGGCATGCACAACCCTTTTACAGCGATTTTAGTATGAAATCACACGTAGGCATTCACATTAACTAAAAAAATATATTTCCCAAACAATTTGTAATATACCGTTACATCGATACCTGATACCGCCTAAGTGTTTTATGCCGCGTTAAAACCCGCTGTTATTAATTTAGTAAAACCGTAAGAGCCATGTTGGAAAATAATTACACACAATTGTTAATTGGAAATTTCTGTAATGTTTAAGCACTTTTAATTAAATCTAAAACAACTGTGTAACCAACAAAAACAAAAACAAAGTGCATACGATGGATACCCATATTAAATCACTTTTTTGACGCCACATTTATTTACCGCTAATGGGGAAATGCGTTGAGCGAACATTGACAGCGGCGTTGCAGCGGTACAATGAACGCCTTGATAAGTCAGCGTCGAGTCTACGGGCTCATGTGGAGCTACGGGTGTCAGCAACAATGATAAAAATATATGAAATCATATAATTGTGGCAAATTCAATGTCACTGCATGCTTCCTGTGTGTGTGTGTGTGTGATGTGAGAAAGTCGCAGAATTGTAAAATGAGCTTTTCAAATCATACGTTTTCTGTTTTTTTTTTGTATGTTGCTACATGCAAGGTTTTTGGTCGTCTGGGATTTCAAAGCGTGAATGGAGTTAAATGCGGTTAGACCGCTTGTTGACTGTTGACAGCTTTTTCTGTGTTCGTGTGTATATATTGTATTTGTTTGTGTTTTTGTGGCAAACGCACTTTCCAGCATTAATTATCAATGTTGCACGCACTGCTCAATAACCGCCAGCTGTAGAAAGTGGCAATTTCAGCGCTTGCCATTTGCGCAGGCGCACCTTATCGCCGACGCGCACTCACATAAATTTGTAATTTGCATATACATATGTATATATACGTACTTATATGTGTATTGGTTAATAAAAAGTGATGAAAGCAATGCAAATTAAAAATGAGTGCGTTGCCGATGCCCATAATGGGCGCCTGTGCGTTAGCTAGACAATAAGTGGCGAGGTGTGGCGTTGGTCAACCACCAGACTGCACGTTGTATTCGCTTGTAAATACCGTTAGGCGTTTAAAAGTAATTAAAATTTTGCTCACAAGCGTTCATGTATTGTGTCTATGTGTCGATCACGCTTCTTAAAAAAATATTTAAAAAAAAAATAAGAAAAGAAAACGAAAAAGCCTTAACGTCGGCTGCACCGAAGCTATAATATCCTTCACAGGTGCAAGAAATAGTGTAAAATGGTGTAAAAAGATCTTTTGATTATTTTGGTCGGTCAGTTTGTATGGCTGCTATATGCTATAGTGATCTGAGCTGAACAATATTTTTGGAGATTGTCGTGTTGCTTTTGACAATAATGCATGCCGAATTTCGTGAAGTTATCTCGTCAAATAAAAAAGTTTCGCATACAAGGACTTGGTTTGAGCGATCAGTTTTTATGGCAGCTATATGCTGTAGTGGTTCGATATGGGTGATTCTGATAAATAAATAGCTTCTGAAAAAGAAAGGAACGTGTGCAAAATTTCAGATCGATATCTCAAAAAATGAGGAACTAGTTCAGGTATATACATCCTGACTAAATCGACTCAGCTCGTTACGCTGATCATTTATATACATATGTATATACTTTATATAGTCTTCAACGTTTTCTTCGGAGTTATAAAAACTCTGTAGCAATTTTAATATACTCTGTTAAGGTTATAAAAATATTAAAAATATAAAGTTTCAAAAATCTTACACGCACTTTACCAAACAGGTTCCTTCCCCGCACGCATCTCTTTCTTGGCCAAGACAATGATAAGCAGACACATAAATATGTAGAACATATGTGTGTATGTATGTATATATCTTTCAGTGTACACATTTTTCTTTGATCGGCAATTTTCACCTTAGCTCTCGCTGAAAATGCGCACGACACCGTTAACAGCTATTTACGCAAGCTTACGCGCAGACTCGGTGTGTTGAGTGGTCCGGCGCATGTTTCATCTTTCGACACGTCGCGGTTCTTTTCAACTTTTTTCCTTCTATTCTTTTCCTCTTGCGTTCATGTACTCACTTACTACAGACCTACTCGTAGCTTGCAGCAAATTGAGGACATGACAATTTTATGCTGCATCGAGTTGTTGTAGAAATCGCGCATTCGCGGTCTTATAAAAACAAGTGATGATGATGAAAAAATTGGGTTGTAAGCCGGAAGCTTGATTACGTTGTGGCAGAAAGAGAATTTCGTTGGAACGCAAAATTGTTGCGTAGAAAAAAATTTCTTGAAATTTTAACCAAATTCATATGAATATACATATATACTTATATTCATATGAATTTTGCTAAAATGCGTTTGTATATACGTTTACATTTGTAAAACTACATAGACAGCTCTTTGTATGCTGCAAGAAAAAATATTTCATTGTACAGTCTTGTCAATTTATCAGCAAGTTTTTGCATACATCATAAGTATCTTATAACCTATATGTATTTCTTTCTGATAATTTTTACTCGAAAAAAGTCTTCTACACTATTTTGCTCTCATTTTTTATGCTTATCTCTTTGTGCTATTCTATATTTGACTGATGTTT